CACCAACCTTTCAGTTAGCAACTGAGTGCTTAACTACTGTGCCACCAGTTTTTGTTAGGTGCTGTTGAGTCATCTCTGACTCATAGCAACCCTGTGCATAACAGAATGAAATACCGCCCAGTCCTGCACAAGCTCCACGATCTTTGCTATATTTGAGCCCATTGCTCCGCCACTGTATCAATCCATCTCGTTGAGGGCCTTCCCCTCTTTCATTGACCCTCCACCTTACCAAGAATGACATCCTTCTCCAGGAAATGGTCCCTTCTGACAACATGACCAAAGTAGGTGAGACGAAGTCTGGCCATTCTCGCCTCCAAGGAGCATTCTGGCTGCACTTCCTCCAGGACAGATCTGTTAGTTCTTTCAGCAGTCCATGGTATTCTCAGCATTCTTTGCCAAGACAAAGAGTCACCAGGGCTCCTCTATATATGGATAGACACCTGGAATGTTTACAGTTTTTCACTCTCATGCATAGAACAGTTATGGACATTCTTATACAATCCTTTTTTGTGAATGTATGTTTTTGTTTCTCAGGAAAATAGTAAAAGTAGAATTGCTGGGTCATAGGGTATGTGTTTATTTAAGCTTCATGAGAAACTGTGAGAACTTTTTCCAATGTGGCTTCATTATTTTACATTCTCATCAACAAGTATGAAAGTTCTGGTTGCTGCACAACTTTACCAGGATTTGGGGTTTTGAATGTATTTAATTTCAGTCATGCTGGTTAATGTATGGTGCTACTTCTTTGGGGTTTGCATTTGTCTTTGTCTGGCAGCCTATGATGTGTGTTTTAATTTAATCTAAATTTTCATTTTAGAGTCATATTGATCTTTTTGTAATACAAAAAAATTGCAAGGAGGTTGGTTCCCTTTAGCAATAGTCCACATTTTAAGTGTTTGTACTATCTTCTGCCTTGGGTAAGTTCCTAGAGCTCCCTCAGTGTGCTTGTGCTCAACATGTGAATCATCACAGTACTGGTAGTGAGCTCTACTTCCTGGAGCATGCACAGTTCATAACTTCAGGTGGACAAACAGCTTTTTATAACACACATCCCAAGAAAGGTAGTCTCCCATAATAAAGTCTTCGGGTTTCATAGTGACAATCCCCGGAATGATTAAAACATACTTTTGAATATAGTTATACTATACTTTCTTAGTATAGTTAAACATCTTAACAAAGTTCTTTGTTAAGTAGACTGAGGCAGCAACTCAACTTTCCAAGTCCAGATTCAGAGTAATAATGATATAATTTAATTGTCTTAGTGATTGACATGTAATTATCCACTAACCTCCCATCTTCTCTGCTCAAAAGAAGAGCAGTTGTTAATACAGCACATGACATTCCCAAAAGCACTGCTACTTAAGTTTCTCTTTTGGCCTCTGATTAAATGATAATACTTGTATACTTTTAAGGAGCTCTGCTGGTGCAGTGGTTAAGGCATTTGGCTACTAAAAGGTCCATAGTTCAAACCCACTAACCACTTTGTGGTAGAAAGATGAGGTAGTCTGCTTCCGTAAAGATTTACAGCCTTGGAGACCTTATTGGGGTCACTATGAGTCAGAATCAACTTGATGGTTATGAGTTTGGCCTTTCTGTTTTTTGTGTGCTTTTAATATTAATTAATAGAAATCTTAGTTATTTGAGTCTTCAATATCTTATTTCTCCAGGACATGGGGGTAGAGAAGAGGCTCTTGTGGTGCAATGCCTAAGGCATTTGAATGCTAACCAAAAAGTTGATGGTTTAAACCCACCAGCTGCTCCACTGAAGGAACATGGGGCAATCAACTTCTGTGAAGATGTACTACCTCATAAGCCCAATGGCAGGAGCTCTGGTAGCACAGTGCCTAAGGTACTTGACTGCTAACCAGAAGGCTGGCAGTTCAAACCCACCAGCCACTCCTTGGAAGGAAGTTTGGGCAATCCTACTTCTGTAGTGATACTGCCTCGGAAACTCAAGGAGGGGTCGCTATGAGTCGGGGCCGACTCAACGGCACATAATAGCAACAACAACAAGCCCAACAGAGGTTGCTATGAGTCTGAATTGACTCTATGGCAGTGGGTTTGGTTTTGGTTTTGGGGGTGGGTAGCAAAGAGGTGACTGCACTGTTGAAAACCCTAAGTTGTGTATTAACCCTTTAGTTGTTGTCTTAGTCAGGTGTCTCTAAAGAAGCAGAAAGAGAGAGAGAGAGATTTCTTTTAAGAAATTGGCCCCTGCAGTTGTAGGGAGCTGGCAGGTACTAAATCTGGTCATCTCTAGCAATGAGCTAGAGATTCTAAGTCCCAAAGTCAGACAAGGGGAAGAGTTCTGGCAAAATTCATAGCCTAGAGGCAGAACACATGCTAGGGAAGCTGTCTTTTTGCTTTTAAGTCCTTCATCTGATAGGGTGAGACCCACCCACCCACATTATGAAGGGTTATCAACTCAAAGTGACTCTGTGTTCTATAGGACAAAACATTTCCTGATCCTGCATCATCCTCACAATCTTTGCTATGCTTGAGCCCATTGTTGCAGCCACTGTGTCAGTCCATCTCATTGAGAGTCCCCTTTTTTGCTGGTCCTCTGCTTTACCAAGCATGATATCCTTCTCCAGGGACTGGTCCCTCCTGAAAACATGACTGAAGTATGAGAGATGAAATCTGGCCATTCTTGTTTCTAAGGAGCAATCTGGCTGTCCTTCTTCCAAGACAGATTTATTTGTTCTTTTGGTAGTCCATAGTATATTCAGGATTCTTTGCCAAAACCACAATTCAAATGCATCAGTTCTGTGGTTTTCCTGATTCGTTGTCCAGCTTATGAAGGATCTGCTTTAATTAAGACCAGCTGATGTAATCACATGTAACTATTTAATGACACGTCTTAGTGTTTGACCAAATAACTGGGCACAATAGCCTAGATAATTGGACACATAAAATTAACCATCACAGTTATTTATCTAGATTCTAAAGACAGAAGTTTCATGAGGGACAACATTGATACAAAAGGCAGAGTAACATGATGGCATGTAGGACTTGAAGGGAGGCGTGAGGGTTTGCAGTCTGTTTATGCATAAGTCTCTTAAGTCCCCTCTGCCTCAGTTTCTTCACTTGCCAAATGGGGATGACAGAAATTCCTACCTGCTGAAGAAAATCATCATGTCTGTGGCCTGCTGCACCCTGTGTTTGTCCCATCCTTCTTACTGTCCCTTGGGGCTCTTTTTCCGTTAAATACTGGTGTACCCTAAAACAAAACCCAAGAATTACCATGTTCTGCCTGTGTGTAGTTGGGCAAGTTACTAAACTTGATAAGCTTTGGTTTCTTAAACTATGTTGTTGTTGTTGTTAGGTGCCGTCGAGTTGGCTCTGATGCATAGCGACCCTGTGTACAACAGAATGAACCACTGCCCAGTCCTGTGCCAGCCTCCCAATCCTTGCTATACCAGAGCCCATCGTTGCAGCCACCATCTCATTCCATATTGTTAAGGACCTTTCCCTTTCTCATTGACCCTCCACTTTACCAAACATGATCTCCTTCTCTAGGAAATGGTCCCTTCTAACAATATGACCCAAGTAGGTGAGACAAAGTCTATCCATCCTCACTTTCAAGGAGCATGCCGGCTGCACTTCTTCCAGGGCAGATTTGTTCATTCTTTTGGCAGTCCTCGGTATTTTCAGCATTCTTCACCACCACCACAATTCAAAAACATCAACTCTTCTTCAGTCTTCCTTGTTCATTGTCCAACTCACACACATATGAGGTGACTGAAAATACCATGGCTTGGGTTAGGTGCACCTTGGTCTTCAAGGAGATTTCTTTGCTGTAAGCTGGGATAAATATAGTATCTATATTATAGAATTGTTGAGATCATTAAATCATTCACCAGATGCACTTAGCTCCAAAACGCAAAACCAAACCCTCTACCATTGAGTTGACTCTGACTCATAGTGACTTTATAGGACAGAAAAGAACCACCCCTTTGGGTTTCCAAGGCTGTAAATCTTTATGGATTTCCATATTAATGACTGCCTCATCTTTCTTCCATGGTGCAGCTGATGGGTTTGACCTGCTGATGTATTGGTTAGCAGCTGAATGCCTTAGCCACTGTACAACCTGAGCTCCCACAGTTGCTGATATATAATTTAATAAATATTATTTCCTGATATATATTTAATAAATATTACTCATTGAAAGATACTTTGTAATAGATATATTCAGTAGTTAATATTCAGTTCAAAAAATATTTGAAATAAATGTCCAACAATGGTTAATTATTATGAACCACTTGATAGAATTTATATAGCTGTTAATGAAGCAAAACTGTAAAATATTGAGAACTACCCAGAATAGTAAATAGAAAAAGCTGAAAACCATGTAGAGCAAACTAGAAAAGTACTAAAAAGATGTACACATACAACAAGTGTGAGATGGGTGGGGACAGTGCGTGTATTTACACTACTCTTCTATTGAAAGAACATTCTTTTTTTTTTAATTTTTTAAAACTGTGGTCAATATATACATAACATATTTACAAAAAAAAAAAAAAAAAAAAAAAATCACTGTCCTCAAAGTGATTCTGACTCATAGCAACCCCCAATGGATTTCTAAGGCTGCACTTTACAGAAGCAGACTGCCTCATCTTTCTTCTGCAGAGTGGTTGGCGGCTTCAAACCACTAATCTTTTGGTTAGCAAACAAATGCCTTAACCACTACACCACCGGAGCTCTTTACCATACTTACAATAGGCAAGTGTATAAAGACCTAAGTTTATCAGTAGTTACCAAGGATGAGGGAGAGGGAGGGAACAAAAGGGACTCATTGCTTAGGGAACACTAAGCTTTTGTGGAGATTAATGGAAATATTTGGAAATGAATGTGATGATGGTTGAATAACAAGATGAATTTGATTAATGACACTGAATTAGAAGAAAATTCTTTTTGAAAATAACAAATAAATGTCTTTATTTCAAATGAAATTCTTGAATGAGGCCAAAATACTGATGATGATTACTGTGTTTTTCCTTCAGTTTTCTGGCAGTTAACATGGACACAGTTGGTAAACTCGCCTTTTTGTTGAAAGCAGTGAATTTTCGTGAAAGGGTTCTTCAGCGGGGTTTGGTGACCAGGATTTATTATAAGGTAAAAATGCATTTGTGTTATATTTTTCCTTTTGACATGTGTATAAGGCATGTTACTATGTTCTGGTTAGTGAACTATCTCCTAAATATACTAGAGGAGAACCAGGTTAGTTACAAGCTGCTGAGAATGACTAGAGTTCCTACAGTCCATTTCACATGACAGCTTTCCTGCTTTGGAGGCCAGAGTGCTATTGTTAACCTCCTTTACATCATCCTCTTTTGGAATTCTACCCACACTATCATTTGTTTGCTCTGGGAGTTGATGAGTTTGAGTCCTTATTGAAGTTGAAAATTCATTGTTCTATATGTATAATCAATATATTCTTCTCTAGGAAAAAAAAAGTGCAATAAGCATATATAAAAATTAATCAATGGATCACCCTGAAAGATACTCTTCCTATTTTTTATTAAGATACCCATAAAGATCTGCAAAAATGTATAACCTTCTATAACCACTGATGGAAATTTAGAGAGAATTTCTGCCAAGTTCAGTGTTAGTCAGGGTGGTTTGAAGACACATACCTTGCCCAAGCAAGATGCTAAGAGAAGGCTTTACTTATTCCACCATCTGCCCAGGCTCAGAGGCTCAGGGATACTATAACCTGAAACCAGAGCACTGTCCTCCCTCTACATGGGAATTAAGATCTGAGGGGACCAGAATTGGGGCCCAATATACTTTCCCCCTTCACTTCTCTTTGTATATCAAGTCCAAGATTGTATCTCCCAGTACAATACACAGTGGGTGAAAAGGACCAGAAGTTTGTGTAGTCCGAGGAATATAGCAATGAAAAACAAATCAGAAAGCATGTTATCAGAGGACTTGAAGACATGCCAGTGCTGTTCCGTTAAGTGTACCTGTACCATGTGTGGCGTAGTACTTAAGGCACTTGACTGCTAACCAGAAGACTGGTTCAAACCCCCCAGCCACTCCTCGGAAGGAAGACTGGGCAATCTACTTCCATAGAGATACAACCTTGGAAACCCAAGGAAGGGTCACTATGAGTTACAATCAACTCGATGGCAGTGAGTTTGGTTTTTTTTTTTCTTTTTGGACACCATGTGTGAGATAACTGTTTAAAGAGTTTTCACTGCCAATTGCTGCTTGATTTGAGGATTTCTCTAGAGATTACTACATAAAATCTGCTTCCTATTAATTGTGATATCCTCTTTATCTCTGTCTAATTTGACTTAGCACAAGACTCCTCTCCCTGGTCCCCAGAGGATCAGTGATTTGATGTTGGACTGCACTGATCTGGTAATTACTTGCAAACAACATTTCCATTACAATATGTTCTCTAAATTCAATCCACAATAAACTATGGAGAGACAGCTTCTGAGCCATTCCAATTTAGAAGGCCATAAATCGCTCCAGCTCCGACCTCTAGAAGGTAGAGGATTCAATTAAAAATAGCCTGTAACATGAAATGAAAAGAAGTTTCAAATCTCCTAGTAAAGCATAGACTGTCATGGATTAGAAACAAACCTAATTATATATACTCTATATAAAAACACATCTAATTATATATATTTTATAGAGGAATCTCATTATATATGTTGATATCTACTTATACACATCAAAACAAAAAGTGATATGAAAAACAAAAAGATAAGGAGAAGAAGATGAGTAAAAATACATATCAAGAAACAGCAAGATATTTTGAGATATCTTTCAGAAAGTTGGCAATGTTAATCTTTTAAAAAGTAGCATTGAAAAGCATTAATGTAAACACAGTACAAAGCCAAATGGATGATACCATATCATGAGTTTTATGTACCAAAGAACATAGCATCTGTGATAACCACCTTCCAAGACAGCCCCCCGAAATCCCTGCTTCTTGATATTTACATGCCTGTTTAGTCCCCACCACATTTTACCAGGGTTTGTCTATGTAACTTACAGCAGAAGTAATGATATGTCACTTCTGTGGTTAGAGTATTCAAAACACCCGCGACTTCCTTCTTGGTCATTCTGTTGCTCCTGCTCTCTCTTCTGGATCTCTCACTCTCGGAAAGGCCATGTCATGAGCATGCCCTATGGAGAGGCCCATGTGGCAAGGAACTGCAGCCTCCTGCTAAAACCATTTGCGTGAGTTTGGAAGTATATCCTCCAGCCTCAATCAAGTCTTCAGAGACTGCGGGGCAGGGGAAGTGAACAGCTTACTGCAACCTTGTAAGAGACTCTGAGCCAGAACTCTCGTACCGACTTCCTGGCCTTCGGAAACTACATGAGATAATAAATTTCTGTTGTTTTCATCTGCTAACTTTGTGGGTATTTCTTACATAGCAATAGATAACTAATGTAGATTTTGATATCTAGAAGTGGAATGCTGATGAAACAAAAACCAAAAATGTGGATGTGATTTGGAACCTGGCAGTGAGCTTTGAGAAGAGCATTAATGAAAACCTAAATGCCTCGAAGAAATTGTTAATAGTAGCCTCATGGTCTTTCATAAGGTTTTGGGTGAAGACTTGCAGGAAAGTGAGATAAATGTGATTGGAAACTGAAGAAGGGGATTCTTGTTATGTGGTGGCAAAAAGTTTAGTAACACTGTTGTCTGCAGTTATAGGAAAAGTAGAAATTTACCCAATGAACAGTGTGATTTAGTAAAGAGATTTCTACCAGAGTGTTGCAAGTGTTGCCTACCTTCTCATTGCTGCTTATAGTAAAATGCAAGGGGAGAGAGAAAGAAGCTAAAGGAAAGAAGTAGAACTTGACTTGGTTTTGAAGATTCCCAAGTTCTCCAGATGTAAAACCATGCTAAGCTTAAGAAATTACACACTCAGAAATGTGTGGTCTGAGGATAAAACCCAGAGTATAACTATAAAATCTAAAGGAACTAAGAAAGATCAAAGTTGGGACTTTAGTCAAATAAAATGCCTCATAGATTCTCTCAAACTATAGGAATTCCAGAAAGTTTAAGGGCATTTTTCAGCTTTCTTAGCATTGCAGGGTCTATTTCAAAGAGGTTTGTGGATGTGGCTTTTGTCTGGTTGACTAAACTCAAAAAAAAAAAAAAGAATTGTGGAATATCCGAACTATTTTAAAGATAGTTATATAACCCATCAGTCAAATATTTTCAGCTTAGGCTAAAAGGTATAGAAATAGTACAAAATGAAAAGAGCCTTTGAGTCACCCAGCTTCTACAAACAAGAAGCTGGCTGAGAAAACTGCAAACATGTGCTACCTCTCCTGAAAACGGACGAGTGCCTTAGAGGACAGAACCAAGAGCCTAGAAGGCAGAGGCAAGAACCATGGAGAAGAATGACTCCTGAGCAGGAATATGCTTGATTCCTAACCAAAGAACTTCTGACATTTGCCCAAATGTATTTCAGAATTGCTCGGGACCACTGACTCCTGTGCTTCTCCAATTTTCCTCCTTTTTGAACAGGTTCCTGGCCTACCATTGTGTTTTGGGTATATAGAAGACAGATACCTTGTCTCTTCAGTTCATAGGCTTTCAAATTGAGGGGAACTGTACTTAAGGAAAGAAGCCCTGGTGGTGCAGTGGTTAAAAAGTGGTTGGTTGCTAACTAAAAGGTGAGCAATTCAAACTCACTAGCTACTCTGTAGGAGGCACTCTGGTGGCGTAGTGCCTAAGGCATTTGACTGATAACCAGAAGGATGGCGGTTCAAACCCACCAGCCACTCCTCAGAAGGAAGATGGGGCAATCTACTTCCGTAGTAATACTGCCTCGGACACCCATGGAGGGGTCACTATGAGTTGAAATCGACTTTACAGCATATAACAACAACAGCTACTCTGTAGGAGAAAAATAAAGCAGTCTGCTTCCATAAATATTTGTTGCCTTGAAAACCCTGTGGGGGCAGTTTTACTCTGTCCTATAGGGTCACTATGAGTCAGAATCCACTCAATGGGTATGTTTTTTTGTTTATTTGATACTTAAGTAATGATACCTGAGGAACCTTATCTTCATCTGACCTCATTTAGTACATTGAGCCGATGCTATAATGGGATGAAATGTTTGGTGAATGTTTGGAGGGGATGAGTATGTTTTTGGAAAAAGGTGAATAATTGAGGGCCAGATGATGAACTTTGATAACCAACCTCTAAGATGACCTTCAATGAGTCATTTCTGGCATTCACACCTTTATGTAGTTCCCCACCCCCCGGTTAACAAGATTGTTTTGTGTGACCAATAGAATGCAACAGATGTGATGGTATGTTTATTCTGAGATTAGATTATAAAAGACACTGTGGTTTCCATCTTGGTTAGTCTATCAGTCTCTCTCTCTCTATCTCTCTCTCTCAGATCACTTACTCTGGGGAAAGCCATGTCATGAGCAGCTCACATGGCAAGGAACTGAAATGTCTTTCCAACATCTATATGAATGGCCTTAAGTCATATCCTTCATCCCTAGATTGAGAGAGCCTGAGTCAGATGCACCCAGCTAAAATGTACCCATATTTTAAACACAAAAATGACCACAGTAACTGGTCAGGTAGAGATTGGTGGAACCCCTGAGACTGTGGCTCCAGGTTATCCTTTGGCCCTGGAACTGTACTCACTTCCTTGGATTAATTCTCAGCCAAACAGTAGAAAGGCCTGCAAACAGAACACCTATCCCAGGGAGATACACCCCTTAGATCATCAGAAAGGCAGCATTTGCATAGAGGGAAAACTGGGCAGACAGGAAGCACAGATAAAAAGGATTCAGGGAAGGAGCACAGGGAGGAGATGGGAGGGGAGCTCTTTATTGTTGGGTTTGTAATTGGGACCGTGCAACCAAATGTGCATGAACTGTTGAGAGTAAAACAAATCTTTTTTGCAAATTTGCACCCAAGTCACAATAAAAAAATAAAAAAAAGAAGCTAATTAGGCCATATTTATCAAAATTACAAAGACATATGCCAGTAGGCCCTATCTATCAAAATTATAACAGCACATACTTATTTTGCACATGTGCAAAATGATAATTGTTTAAAGATACTCCTTGCAGCAGTTTGTGGTAGAAAAAAATGGAAGCAATTGAGTATCTGT